ATTGAAGATGAAGGGGTGATATCTGGAGAATAAAATTAAGGGGCAAGAAAGGATTATACAGAAGGAAAGAGAAAGGGAGAGGTAGAATGGGGTAAATTATCTCACATGAAATAGACAAAAAAAGGCTTTTACAATGGAGGGGAAATGAGGAAAGGTGAGAGAGAATGAGTGAATCTTATTCGAATTGGATTTGGTTTAAGGAAGGAATTAACATACACACTCAATTGGGCATGGAAATCTATCTTACCCTACAGGAAAATAGGGAGGGAAGGGGACAAGAGAGCAGGGAGATGATGGGGGAGGGGGAATATTTGGGGAGGGGGTAATCAGAAACAAACACTTTTAAGGTGAGACAGGGTTAAAAGAGAGAATAGAATAAATGGAGGGTGGGATAATATTAAGGGAAATATACTTAGTTTTTCACATGACTACTATGGAAGTGTTTTGCAAGACTACACATGCATAACCTGTATCAAGTTGCTTGCCTTCTCAATGAGGGTGGGTGGGGAGAGAAGAAGGGAGAAAATTTGTAACCCAAAGTTTAAAAACAAATGTTAAAAAAAAATTGTTTTGACATGCAACTGGGAAATAAAATATACAGGAAATGGGGTATAGAAATCTATCCTGCCCTACAGGAAAATTGAGGGGGAATGGGATAAGAGAAGGGGAGGAGAGATAGAAGGGAAAGCAGATTAGGGGAAGGGGTATTCAGAATGCATGCCATCTTGGGGGAGGGGGAAGGACAAGATAGGGAGAAAATTTAGAACTCAATATCTTGTGGAAGTGAATGTTGAAAACTAAAAATTAATTAATTAATAAGGAAAAAAGTGAAAAAAATAAAAAGTTCAAAAGAATAAAAAATTTTTTTAAATTAAAAAACCCCCTTTTCTTGTTGTTGTAGTTTTCCCTTTTCTTCTGTTTCTTCTTTCACAACATGATTAATGTGGAAATATGCACATGTATAACCTATATCAGATTGCTCGCTATCTTGGGGAGGGGGAAGGGGAGAGAGAAGAGGAGGGAGAAAAAAATCTGAAACTCAAAATCCTATAAAAAATGAATGTTGACAACTATCATTACATGTAATTGGAAAAAATAAAATACTATTTGCCCCCCAAAAAATAAATCAAGAAAGAAAAGAAATCAATATTCTCATTTTGCAGAGAAAGAAACTGAGGCTCAGAGAGTTACAATGGCGACTTGCTTACAGTCACACAGGATATTGGTGGCAAGTCACCAGAAAGTGCTCTCACATCAGATTGGTCTCTCTAAACATAGAGAACAGTTACCATAGGGCCTAGACTCCCAATGTCTGTGGGTCACTAGATTTCCAAGTAATTCCTCCATTAAATGATTAGTTGATGCCTGAAATCCCACCATTAGAGCAGCTTTCCTATACCAACAGTCCATTGGTAAAATGCAAATCATTCCTCCCTAGGCACTATTAACTGTTTTGAATCAGATCCTTTCTTGAAAGAAAAGCTTGTTAGTGGTAAAGGGGTTGAGATCCCGAGCCCAAAGGGGTCTTAAGTGAGGGTGGGAAGAAGAGACCAAATGAGAGGGAGGCTGGTCCCCAAATATTGTTTGGGGCTCACTCTGGTTCTCTCAGTTCCATCTGGTGAGTTCCTTATTTTCAGTCTAGACTTAGCATGTCATGAATGAATACTTTAAATAAAGAGTATATGCAATTATAAATAAAATAAAATAAAGTTTGTACTAGGGTGCTGGCAATGGGAATAGAGAGAAAGGATAGATGTGAGGGAAGTTATGGAGAGGATATCAATAAAATTTAATCAACAAATGGAGGAAAAGGTCAAAAAAAACTACAAGGTTATCGATAAGAGGTACTAGGGTAATGGTGATACCACAGACAGCAATACTGAGATCAGAATTAGGAGATTCACAGTTAATAAGTTCAGTTTGGGACTTAATGAGGTGCTAGGGAGATATGCAACTGGAGATATCCTGAAGGTAACTGGAGATATAAGTATGTAGTGGAAGAGAGTGGTAGGGGCTGGAGATAGAGATTTAAAAATCACCTGTACAGAGGAGCAGGAATATGCCAGCAAATCTAAGAATTCAAAAGAAATAGACTATCTTCAAAATACAAAATGTCCAGATTAAAAAAAAAACCCACTAAATAGGGATTTCAAATCATACACACAATCTCCAAAAAAGAAAAAGAAGTAGTTATAAACAATCCTGGTCCAAATGGAATTCTATCAAACTTTTAAAGAACAATTTATACCTATACTATACAGATTATTCTAAAACATGAGAAAATATACTACCTAATTCAACTTATGATACAAATATAATCCCAATACCTAAACCAGACAAGGACAAAGCAAAGAAAGAAACCACAAAAGAGTATCATTAATGAATATCTATTCTAAAATATTAATTAAAATCATAGCAAAAAGATTTGGTAATTTATCAAAAAATGATTTACTGTGATCATGCTGAATTTATACCAGGGGTACATTATGATTAAACATTGGGAAAACAACATGATTAATCATTAAAAAGAAAAACACCCCAAACCTTTGATTATATAAATAGATGCAGAAAACGCTTTTGACTACAACACTCATTTATGCTAACAAAAATAAAATATTAAGAGGGTTGGCATAGAAGGATCTTTTTAATGTAATACAAAGTACCTATCTAAAAGAAAAAGCTAGCATTATATCCAAAAGGAAACCATTAGAAGTTTTTCCAGTAATTACAAGGATAAAGTAAAGATGCTCCTCTTTCTTATTGTTATTTGCCATAGGTATAGAAATTCTAACTGTAACAATAAGACAAGAAACAGAAATTAAAGGCATGAATATAGGCAAAGAAGAGATAAAACTACCCCTATTTATTGAGAATATGATTATTTACTTAGAAAATTGGAAGGAAGGAAGGAAGTATAAGTAAGGTGGATTTTATTATTCTTTTTTACATAACAATTCCCAGGATCTACAGCTAAAACAATCTCTAGTTCTCAGGAGTTCACATTGTGAACAGTTTCCAGTGAGATATAGGAATGACATAATGTAATATTTACTATGCTTGTGCTGTGCTAAGTTATGATGACATTGATAAAGTTGACCTGTGAGCTTATTGTTGGCAAATTGCCTTTTTTGTGTGCTTCTCTATAAATCACAAGAGCACTGGTCAGTGAGTGAGGATTTGAGGAAAGCATAAGGAAATGCATGTGTGCCTGCCTCAACTAGCCCCCATTGAGGCTTGAGGGGATTTAGGGGAATACACAAACTGGAATATTGTGCCTATCTTGATTGGCCCCCATGGAGATGTAGGGATTGTTGCTCCCCCCCTTCTCGCCCACTCTGTGAGAAAGGTGATTAGGTGATCCTGTAAAAGTTGGTGCTCCTATTATCAGGAATCCATTGAGATAGAATAGTAAGAATAAATTATTATTAAACCCCACTGAAGCTGTCTTCTTGTCTTTTTGCTGCCCCGACCAGAGTGATCAAGAATGAAGAGGGTGGAGTCTAAAAAACTCCAGTGGCTCCTATGTTGCTACTTGTCTTACAGCAAGGAAGGAAGGTAGAAAGAATCAGACAAGAAAGACAACTTTGAAAGTTACATGTTGAGTTTATTACATTTAAAAGAGAAGCAAGCTATAAGTAATAGGAAACTTATGTTTCATGAATAATCTTATGTTATGCACGTAGAAATACCCATTTTAGCTGATATTTGTTAAATTCAGAATAAAAAAATACAGTGGACCAATTTTCATTTCTTTAAAAATATTTCTCTTTCTCTGTAAAGAATAGATCACAATCTAGGATTGCTAGTCTCTACTCTCCATAGTTTTAAAGAGTGTATAGGGGGACTAAAGTAAACCTATAGTAAGTATGCCAAAGAGCACAAAGGTTGATTTGGGGTGACATTCAGAGCAGTCATTGCTATCATCTCTTCTCTTTTCCCCTTCCGAGAGCTTCCATCTATGCCTCTTCCTTAAAAGGAGTAAAAAGAAAAAGATTCACTGTCTCCCTGACTATTGAGAGAGGTAACCTATTTATTTTTCTCCTCATGATCCTTTTACCTTATCCTCACCCTCAGACAAGAAGAATGGCCCACCTACTGCTGCATAGATTCCACAGTTGCTATAGGAATGTATCAGGAAGACGGCAGCAGTAGGAGCTGTCCAGCTAAAAGACTTTCAGGAGAAATTTGAGAGCAAGGCACAAGTGTATACATTATGACCTTAACTACTCCAATAAGAAAATGTAACAAATGGCAAAGTTCATGATACCAAACAACTGATTCCTGAACCTCCTACTCCAGCTAGCCCCCACCCATCCCCCACTCAGACTTCATCTCTCTTGGTTTTTAACTAACCTTCTTTACAGTCATCACTATCTTCTTTGGACTCACACATCTCTCTGATTAATACTGTGGCTTCTGACCTCACCTTTTCCCAACATTTCTGCAATCTGACTGTTCCAAGATCCATATTGCTGGCCACCAACCTTGACTTGTTTATAACACAATTGTCCCCACTTTCACCCTGTGAAACATGTCGGAACATTCCAGCTAAAACTTCTCTCCTACCATGAAAAAGTTTCACACACACACACACAAAAACTCATCTCTACCCAAGCCTTGAGTGAGTTTGGTGGAAAATGGTACAAGACCTAGGAATCTTTTAATACAAATAGTATAAAATTTGAGGCAAGTAGGTGGCTCAGTGGAAAGATCACTGGGCCAAGAGTCAGGAAGACCTAAGTTCAAACACTAGCTGTATGACTCTGGGTAAATCAATTAACCACTGTTTCCCTTAAATCCACTAGAGAAGGAAATGGCAACTGCCACAGTATCTTTGAAAAGAAAATTCTGTGGACTATATTGGCATGGTATGGTCCATAGGATTACAAATAGTCAAACATGACTCAACCACAACAACAGTGTGAAATTTGCCATCTCTTCTTTATAATATCAGATTCAACATCAATAATAATAAGCAAAAAAAAAATCATACCACTCACCCAGATCTAGGTGAATGCCTGGTACAAATGAATTGAGAAAGAACATGAAGATAACAAATCCCAGCACAGTCAGGCATTTGATGAGGAGAATTTTGTCTGCTATCTTATGCTGTGGAAAGGAAAAACGTAAGTATTACCCAGCACATTCTACTGAATTCAGCAATGTATTCATTTTTTAAAGTATATCTTATTTTTATCGATACCTTTCATTTCAGAACATATCCCTCCTTATTACCCTATCAACTGAGCCATCCCTTGTAGAGAAGGTATACAAAGGGGGAGGGGAGGAAGAAGCAGCTCAGCAAAATTAGCCAATACAGGGACTGTGTCTGAGCACAGTGTTTTGTAATACCCCACACCTATACTCCACTAACACTGCATTGAAAGAAAAAGAGCTGCATTTTCTCCACCATTCTCTAGGGCCAGGTTTAGTCATTATGATGAGGTACAAAGCAGTGTTTGAGGCAGATGGAGCAAGCAGGATGAAGGATGTGAGACATGAGATAAAATGCAGGATGTGACCAGCCAGAAAAGTGATGAAGAAGACTATGCAATGATACCTCCACCTCAGACTTATCTGTACCCCTTATCTGTATGCTTTCCCAAAGCACTCCCCAACTACCTGACATTCCAGAACACCTGTCCCCTTCCCTTTCCTGTTCCCCTTTCTTAGCTGAACGCATTTACAAAGACACTTGGGATTACCTGACATTGCAGGCATTCTAGAGCCATGCTTTTTCCCCTCCTCTCCTTCTCCTGCTCCCCTTCTCCCATCCCATCAAACTGAATATAGACCAGACACCTAACCTGGCTGGTGCTCCATCTCCCATAGGGAGCAGAGCCCGCTGAGTGCATCACCCTAATAAACATCTTTTCTTTAACTTGGAGATGGCCTGAGCAAATTCATTCAAGACACCTCAATTCCTCGTTATTCTGGTGTACCCCAACATTTTGGGGTGCCCCATGAGTCCCAGCAATTCTAATTTCACACAATGCATTTCATTTTTTGTTGTTTTTTTTGTGTGTGTGTTTACATTGGTGTATTTGTAACCCAAGTCCTAAAGCCCATTGGTATGGAACTCTCATTTCTCATTAGAAATTATTGCCTCATCCCAAAGAGATCAAACAAATGGGAAAAGGACCCACATGTACAAAAATATACATAGCAGCTCTTTTTGTGGTGGCAAAGAATTGGAAATTGAGAGGATGCCCATCCATTGGGGAATGGCTGAGCAAGTTGTGGTATATGAATGTAATGGAATACTATTGTGCTATAAGAAATGATGAACAGGCTGACTTCAGAAAAACCTGGAAAGACTTCTATGGTCTGATGCTGAGTGAAGTGAGCAGAACCAAGAGGACTTTGTACACAATAACAGCCATGTTATGCAATGTCTAAGATTGTGAAACTGAACCTTTCTCACCATTATGAGGATCTAAGACATTCCCAGAGGCCTCGGGATGGATAATGCTGTCCACATCCAAAGAAAGAACCATGGAAGTCGAATCACTATCACTTATTTTTACCTTCTGTTGAGTTTTGTTTCATCTTCCTGATGGTTCCTCGTATTGGTTTTAATTTTTACTTACAACTTCACTAATGTGAAAATATGTTTAATGGGTATGTAAATGTAAAGCCTATATCAGATTGTGTTTCATCTTGGGGAGGGTGGGGGGGGAGGAAAAGGGAGAAAATTTTTCAACTCAAAAGCATATGGAAAAAATTTTTAAAAAATTAAATTAAAAAAAGAGAAAAGAAAAAAAAAGAAATTAATGCCTCATGCTTGGTGAAGGGTGGAACAGAATTGGGGTCAGTAGGAGAGAAGAGAGCTCTAAGTTCTTCAAGTCTTTGGACCTGTTTCAAATCTCATCAAGTGCCTTGGAGTTTTTTCAGGCTCTGTAGTTGCTTCTGGCACTTTGGGCTTCCAACTTTGGGAGGGAAGGTGGAAGAGGCCAACCCCACTTCAGGTTACTGAAGGAAAAGACTCTGGGAAGAAACTGACATGAGAGGAGGTAGCTAGAGACTTCAAGGAACTTGCCCTGAGGGGGAGATCTAGGACTCTCTTGTTCAGCTGAGTTACCTCTCTCCTAATGGAAGAGCTCCTTCATTCTGCATTAATTTGTATATATTCTCCTATGTATGCTTTCTCTGATTTCTACTTGCTATGAACTTGGATAAATGGGTTTCTCTGCTACCTGCTATATTGTGTTCATTGTGGAATTAATATTTGGTGGGAAAGCTTAGGATCTGGAGATTGGGGGTCCTTCTTTCCTCGGTAATGAAGAGTGATCAGAAGCGATCTGAAAATATATTCCTCTAGCCTAATAATATTTAAAGGATCAGGTAGATATAATTTCAAGCCTAGTACCCCCTATCTCTGAGAACAGCAGAATGACCAAGTTTCTGGTCCCAAACATCTGCTTCCCCTCCTAACAGGAATTTAAATCTCCCTTGGAGAAAAGTGAGGGGGAAAGAGGCTACAGATGTCTATTCTGTCTTCCTTTGAGCCACACAATGACACCTTTATGCTACATGTGGGTGACAGCCCTCTCTACATAGTCATTGTGTGTATGTGTATACACAGGCACACACAGACACACACATATATTTTTCCTGTTTCTGCTTCCTTTGTTTTGTGTCAGTATGTATGTCTTCCCCTCATGCTTCTAGAATTCTTCCTATTTGTCATTTCTTATGGCATCATTAGGAAAATTTAACTATTTATTTAGGCATTTCCTAATAAATGGGAACTTGTTTTGCTTCCAATTCTCTGCTCCCATCAAAAGTGTTGCTATGAAAATTTTGAATCTTCTTGGCACCTACACCTAGCAGTAGGATCTCTAAGTCAAAAAATATGAACATTTTAATCACTTTTTAAAGTATATCCCAAACAGGCAATTTGTTCTCAAGTTCCACCTGATCTGAATCAATACCACAACTTACTTTACTCTAAGAAAAAATTCAGAGTTAGGTGGCGGAAGAGGGAAAAATCTTAATTAGAAAGAAAAGTGGATAAAATTTGTTAAAAGGAAAAGTTTCAAATTAAGTGTAATTTCAAGAACATGTTGAGAAGGCATACAGTTATTTAGAAATATAGGAAGCTTTCCTAAAATGTCTGAAAAGATATAAGAGAAGTACATCTTTCACTATGTAGTACAGAAGGCCTTTGAAGTAAAATCTCATCCTTGTCCCCCAGCACAACAGTATAAGAGAACAATACTCTGGTTTCCTTGCAATATGAAAGCTATCCTTAAATAGACAAGTACCATTAATCTGACTGGGGAATCTAAAGATTTTTCACAAATGTCTGAGTGGCTGTGTATTTTCAGTTCAATATTCTGCCTGCTTCATAGAATATAATACCATGACTTCACAGTTAGCAAGAGAAGCAAACCTTCCTATTCCCCTTGTAGCCACAGGAGGGTGGGAATGCTCTCCCACTGCAGAGTAAAGCAATGTAAGTTATTTACCAACCACTTGTTAGAGACATTTGTCATCTGTCAATCTTCAAAGACCATAGGGTTCTGGAAAGAGATTAGGAGGGACTCTTCCACTGAACAAAGAGGAGTCTGGGTGAGCAAAGAAACCAGAGGGTTTCTGGGATATCCACCTACTAAATTTTCACATCGACATTGTTTAATTCGTGACAGTGGCATTCCCACAGCGATGGCACCAAAGAGCAACACTATTTGTCTTCTATTAAATAAAGTCATCCCAGAAATGAAAAAACAATTTTTCCATCCCTCTAGCCAGACAGAGATTTGAGATTGCTGTTTACCTCCCCAATAGAAACACAAAGGTTCACAGAGAAGCTATATCCATCTGATGCATATGTGAAAGAAGCAAGGAACACGTGGGCAATTCTCTAGCCTGTGACTTGAGCCTGAAAAGCAGCAGTCCAAAAGGGGCCTTTAAGATTTGTAGCAGAGAATGGTGCCCTATCTGTGGCTCTGTTACCCTGAGCCTACTAGAAATGGGCATGTAGGGGAAGGGGTAAAAGAAACCTACCTAGTAATGAATAGAGGAGGCAGCAGCCTTCATTATGTGATACCACAGACAGCAAGAAAACACCTGGGCCAAAGAAAATCTTTGCTATTGGCTGCCCTGATGCTCAAAATGCTTATCTCTAGGGACAGAGCTTTTTAATGTGTGATTTGAGATAATATTTAGAATACAAATACTCCTGGAAGAGGGAAAAGGTGTTAAATTCATACTAAACTATAAAGAGTGCTAAATTGAAGAATCTGAGAACTTGGTTCAAATCCTGGCTTAGTCACTTATTACATGTATGACCTATTCAGCTCACTTAATCTCCATGGTTTTCAGTTTTTTCATATCTAAAATGAAAATGTTGAAACTAGATGACCTGTTGGCCTCTTAATCTATGATTCTATGATACAAGATCAGTTGGAGGATTTTGATAGAGGATGAAAGGGCAGAGTGGGGTGGAGGAAAGTAAGTAAAATAGATATCAGGGCAATCAAAGAGAAACTTTTGCTACTTCATGACTTTAACTAGAACTCAACATGTCCCCAAGCATTTTAAAAATTATCAGGTATAATACATAATATATGCTACATAAAAATGAAACAAAATCCACTCCCTTCAAATGTATAACACATTTCTGAGTGAAAAGACCAAATTACTATTTTTTTTTCTTTAGACAGATATTTGGTTTCTCTTTATCAGGCTACCTTAGGAGTATTATTTCATAAAGATACTTTTCTTCCTTTACAAATACTAAAATCACATTGGATGATGGATACAATTATTGACATCTTCTTCAGCAATGTTTTATAATGTTTTATAAATGAGTTTCTATTCTAAAGCCGTGTTGCCCTTGGCTGCCATGTCCCTCTACTTGGCATAAAGATCAGGTATTCATTGTCTAAGGAAGTTTCTAGGCTCTTTAGGCCTCTTCTTGTGACTGGTTTACATTCATAAAACTGATTTATTTAAAATAATTATTCATGTACCCAAAAATAAAATAATTATTCATGTCCCCAAAGTCCTTCATTATAAAACAACTTCATCTAAAAGTTGGTCCTACTGGCTTGGACTCCAGTGTGACTGTCATATACCTCCTATCAATATTGAACACTAATATGCTATCCAACATGGAAGACACAGACAACTATCCTGGCCTCCTTTTGCCCTGCCCTGCCAAAAAGCAACATAATACTAAATATTTTATTCCACTCTGTGGATATGTTAGGGAATGAATATCCATTTGGGTGTGCTTGAAGAATTCTTTAAAAGTAAGATATATTCTCATTGTGATTTACCTTTTTTTGTAGCTCCTGGATATTTGTCTCCCAGTTTTGGTCTTCTTGGGAAATTTGTCTAAAAGAGAAGGTAACACTTTTTTATGTTTCCTGATAATGCTAAAGAGTCAAGTAAAATCTCCCTCAAACAACAGAATTTTTAGGACCCTCTCCTATAGAGTTGGCTAATTCCTAGTCACTTTCAAAATCTTGCCTCCCAGCTAGTTAACCTGACTCTTTCTTCCTCTGAAATTTAATTTCATGTCATTTTCAAGCAAAAACATTGGATGTGCAATTCTACTAGTCATTCACTCTCAACATTATTTAACTTTCATTTTATAATGGAATTTTCAAATCTCAGCTAGACTATCACTAAAGTAGAACTCTCATCTTAATGCTCAAAGAACTTTGCTGTTAGCAATAATGGATTTTTGTATTAATGCATCCTGCATCAAGTGTCTTCAATGGTAGCATCAAAGTGATATCTACGTGCAGGAGTTAAAAGTAACTAAAAGAGAGGTTGCTTGGTATTTCCCATTTTAGGTAGAAAGTTAATCAATGCTATCAAGTCCAAAGCATATTGAAAATATGGGTTTTGCCTTGGATGGTGAAGAAATTCATTATCCATTTGCTTCTGTCATTAACAGCTATAAGGCCTATCTAAGTGCTCTGAACAGAGTAGATGCCTAATCAGTATTTGCTGAGTTGAATTGAATTTGTCACTATGACTTTATATAAGTCCCCAGTATTCAGAGCAGCTAGGTACCACAATGGATATATCGCGAGCTGGGCCTGGAGTCAGGAAGACCTGAAACTTACTAGTTGTGTGATACTGGCAAACACACTTAGCCTCTATTTACCTCAGTTTCCTCAACTGTAAAATGGGGATATTAATAGCACCTAACTCCCAGGGTCATTGTGAGCATTAAATGAGATAATATTTTTAAAGGGCTTAGTGCAAAATGCCTATCACACATTAAGTACTATATAAATGTCTACTATTATTTTTTTACTGAAATGCACATCACTAGTCAAATCTAATCCACATCTGAAAAAGAATTTCCCCTACAACATGGCTGGTTATCCACTCCAACATCTCCAAAAAGGTAGAACATAACGCTTCCAAAAATAGTCCATTCTATTTTTGGATAGCTCCAATTATGATCTTGGGGCAAGAAGATTTTCCTTATATCAAGACCAAATTTGTCTATTTGTGAGTAAGCACCATACGTTTTTCTAGTTTTATATTTTAACATTAAGAGAAATAAGTATAATGCCTGTTCTATACAACAGCCCTTAAAACATTTAAAGATAGATATCAGGTCACCCCTAATCTTTTCTTCTTCAGGATAAATATCACCAATTCCTTCAACCACTTTGTATGGCCTAAGATTCTCTACTACCCTTGTTTTCTCCTCTGGAATGTGTCCAACTTATCAACATCATTCTTAAAAATCGATACCTAGAACTAAACCCAACAGAACTAGAACTAGAACCTAGACTAAACACAACACTCTAGATATAGCCTAATCAGGGCAGACTACAGAAGGACAATCATCTCCTTTTGCTTCTCTCCAGGCTGCCCAAGATCACATTGACTTTCTTAATTGCCATATCAAACAGTTGACTCATACTTCCCATGAAATTCACTAAATACCCCTGATCTTTTTCAAATGAACCACTTTTGGGCCATAGCATCCCATATTGTACTTCTTTTTAAGCCAAGCATAAAATTGTATACTTATCCCTATTACATTTCATTTTCTTCAGTCTTGTGCCCAGTGTTCTAGCCTGACGGAGTCAAACTCAAATAGAAACAAAAGCCACTAATCCATACCTAAGGATTCCTACGGGCTTTATATGATGCAGTTTAAAAATGTAGTGTTATCAATGTTTTATCATACTTTTATTTATTTTATTAAAACATTCCCCAATTACATTTCAATCTGGTTTGGGCAGTATCACTGGCAGCATGCTTGACACCTCTGTCCTAGCCAGTCCAGCTCTTTTGAAATCCTAAATCCTATAAATCCTATTATATTGTGTTTCATATGTGTGTGTGTGTGTGTGTGTGTGTATACACATATATATCCTATATATACATATATATCCTGTTTTATATATATATGTATGTGTGTGTGTGTGTGTGTATATATATATATATATATATATATATATATATATATGTCAGCTTTGATAAGCATACAATCTATGCATTTTTCCCAATCATTGATAAAAATTGTTAAATAGCAGAGGATTAAAAGATCTCAGAAATGCTTCCCTGGTGACTTTTTAACAAGTTGGTCACAAGCTATCAGTTACTACTTTTCAGGTCTAGACATTCAACCAATTACAAATACCTCTAATTATGTCATTGTTTAGCCTTATCTCTCCATCTTTTCCACAAGAATAGCATGAGATACCAGGTCAAATATTTTGCTAAAATCTAGATAAGCTATATCCTCAGCATTCCCTGATTTATCTGTTGAGTAATGTATTAAAAAAAAGAGGAAATCATATTAGAATATGACCTGTTCTTGATGAAATCATGCTGAGTCTTTTTTGATTGTCACTTCTTCTGCTAGATGTTCATTAACCATTCTAATAGGGTCCAAAATTTTTCCAGGAATTGAAGGTAAGCTCACTGATCTATAGTTGGCATAATCTATTCTCTTCTGTTTTGAAAATCAGAATAGTAGTCATTCTCCAATCTTACAGGACCTCTCCTATTCTCTATAATTTTAAAAGATCACTAACAGTTGTTTAAGCATTCATGTCTACCAATTCCTTCAGTACAATCTGACCAGGTGATGAGCTCATTAGTACAACTAGGTTCTTTCTTAATACCCTTGACCTCATTATCCAATTTTGTTCTGTGTTTTACGATCCAAGGATCATTGTTCTTGGCAGAAAAAATCAGTAGGAATTGAGAAACACTGCTTTTAGTTATCATTGTCTCATCTACCCTGAGCAGGGTCTTGCTATTTTTAAGACTTTCCTATTACTCAATATAACTTCAAAAAAATTTTTTTTAATATTTTCTTTATCTTTCCTCACCAGTACCAGCTTATCTGAGCTTTAGGACTCCAGCTACTATTTAAATATGATCATTACATACTTCTGTATTCATCTTCTCTTACCTGACCTTGCTTCCATCTTCTATACATATCTTTTAAAATTTAAATTGGTTGGTGAATTTCCTATTCATCCAAGTTCATCACTTTAGATGACTCCCCCTTTTCCTCCTTTGTTTCCTTATCTGTAAAATGAGGGACTGGACTAAATGATCTCTAAGGTCCCTTCCAGCTTCAAAAATTTGTGATTTCATATTCCTTATAGGAAGAACTCATGCAAATTCACTGGTTCATTCAGATTTTCTTTTACATATATGGTTATTTTTAGTCTATTTTGCAAGGCTGAGGTAAACTGCATGTTTGTTATAAAAGATTATGTGAGACAAAGCCAAATAGTAAACATAAAGGGAATCTAAGTACAGATATTCAAGATGGAATTTCCTCCATTTTATGTTTGAAAGGATTTGGGGATTGTTTTGTATTCCAATTGTGAAAGATTTAGGTTGTTAACATCTGACTGTACTGCATGAAGTTTACTGTCCTACCTGTAACTCGAGCTATCTACCCGAAGTAAAATTAGAAAGGTCTTTCCTGACCTGACTATAAAAAGAAATGGTACTTTGTCCTTAGATCTACTTTAAGATTTGTAACCTTTTATCTACAAGATTGTACTTTATAGTTACCATAAATTTCAGTGTGTAAGATTCAGGCCTTTATCTCCCAAACTTGAAGCCCAGAAGATGGTTAAAATGAGAGACTCCTTCAATGAGTCTTCTGCAATTTCCACATTTCATATTTTGTGCCTGAGATCTGCATAACACTTTTATTTCTAGTTTGGTTGTCCTGGTTACAGACTAACCTAGAAGGTATGCTTTCTACAATTTCTGCATGTAAAATAATTCTTCATTGCTCTGAGACTAACAATACCCACACAAAAAATCCATTTGCATTGTCCTGGGTGAATTTTCTGTTCCACCTTATGTCCAAGGCCCAGGATTAAGTTCATATTCTCTAGAATGCTTCTTCCTTCTGTTGTTTCCAAACCAAGACAAGTGGGAGTTATTCCAGTCAACAGAACTATTTAAAGTTAACTGCTACTTCTCAACTTGGATTCAATAAGCTAGTACCAGGAGAAGAATTTAGCATAGTATATGCATTCTTTTGACTCAACTCTTTTCTTTTTATTAAACTACTTGAGCTTAAAATTTAAGAGGCTTCTGTAATATAGATAAGTTAATGAATTCTGACCCCAGTTTACAACATCCTTATAGTATTTAAAGAATTCTCAGGGGGGAAAATACTCCCTACATTTCATTGAAGAACTGTTCTAATGATATGGCTTTCTTCTTGAGTTCTTGAAGGCTATGACAATATAGTAGACCCTTTGACAGTTCCTACCAAGCAGGAAAACTATGGGCCTGGTAAAAGGCTATATATGTTATCCACAAGTCAGGCTAGCTAAGTTCACCTTTTGGTAGCTTTCTTTGGCTACTAAACCATGCCTCAGTGAAGGGAGCAGTGAAGGGATTTCATATTAATGAAATTACAGATCTTTGATCATACCAATATAAGAACTTCAAAAATAACCCGTGCAATGCCAGACATTTGCTGGGGGAGATGGATAAAAAGGAAAGGGAAGAAAAAAGAAAAAAGGTGAAGGGAAGAAGGGAAGACATGAAAACAAATAGCTATAATATAAATATGGCACAGACTTGTGTCTGGAGACTTAATGGGCTCATCTGCTCCACCGTTTGCATGATATATCTCTGAAAAGGCTTAGGAGAAACAATATCTGAAGATTACTTCCCAGGAGCCAGCATAAGATACACAAATGTCACTGGACATTTTCAAGGTAAAAATGAGAGAGACAGACAGCAGTGGGGATAGTCTCTCTCCCTCTGTCCCTTAGCTATTGCCCTGACCAAGAAACTTAAGACTCTTCAAAAGAAGTTAGCAGGCTTGAGCAATGCAAATGTACTTTTGGTGAGGGTATCAGAATTAGCTAGCTCCAATCCAGCCAAGGTCGTGTGTACATACAGGGCAAGCAGGGCAACTGGGGACACTTTTGTAGCCATTGGAGTCAAGAAGAATCCCAGCTTCAAACAGGTACTGACTGTACTAAGTGACTGAGTCCTTCCCCTCCCAGAGACCAGCAGGACTCTACAAGTTTTGAACATACATGTTCCAAGGAATCTCAAGGTCACCTACTATTTGGAGAAGGTGATTGGAGATATGAAAATGACCTGGAGGTATTAGTGTGCCTGGATGATTTTATTATCCTTCCAAAGACTGTGGAAGAGCGTGGAGTGCTTATTAAAATGATAATTATTATTATTTGATATATTACTTTCATTATCAAGATATTAATTATTAATCATATTATTATAATATAATATAATAATATAACATAAAAGTCTAGATATGTAATGATAATTAAGATAATTATTATTATCAAGATATTAAAGTGATTCCAGCTGATCAGCTAGAAGATACTGATTTTAAGCTGTTAGTTGACAAGTGTTAGTAATAATAATAATAACTAGATTTTATACAACTCTTTAAGGTTTGCAAAGCACTTTATGTATGTAAACTCATTGTTTTGCAGTCTCTGTCACTTAGGGACTCAACAGGGAGGCAGTGGCCCAGTTTGGCTAGAGCACGTACTGCAGAGGGAAGTAAATGGTAGCCCCTCCTACTCACTAAATGAAGACACCTCAAGAAACTTTTAAAAAAAATGTGTCAGTGTAGCAATTAAGACCAGCAATAAGGGCCCAAAAACCCTTGCTCTCTGTTATAATAGTGGGAAGTTTGAATATCAACTACCAGGAAACCTTCCCCTGCAGTCTAGGTTCATGAATCACCATCAGTCCTTACCACAGAGCCACACTTCAGGTCTGAGCTCTTTTGGCTTCTGCCCCCAACTCCTAACCCTTCCTGACCCAGATATAAACCCTACAAAAACCTCCCCCACTTCACCGATGTTGAGCACCTCCAGGCCCTATCCAGAACCTGAGCATACTGGGATCCATTCTGTGTCCATTCTCTCTGACTCTTCTTGCCCACACACTTCTCCCTTCTCCCTCCCCACAACTCTGTTCTCCAGATACCACTTGGTGAACTTTCTCTCTCTCTGTTCCAGCCTCTCACTAAGTTTTGGTTTTACCTGGAGGTACTGTACCTCCTAGCCATACTAACTCTCTTCTAAGAAGTATGAACCAGCCTCCCAAAGCTGCAACAAGAGATTCAGTAGCTGCAGATATTTCCCAATTTTCTTTTTTACTGAGGGAATCTAAAGAGTAAGGGCTAAAAACTGGGAAACATGCCTTGTTCACAGGTACTCCCTCCTCCCAACACCAGAACTGTGACCAGGAGTCATATCCCAACCCCTTTGAATCTGGGACATAATTGGAAAATTGTCACCTTTCCCCTAACCGGACTTTGGTATTCCAAACCTCCACAAGTCTATGTTAAGACAGGCAGGAAAGATAATATGGGACCAGACTGTGAGGGCCTTTAAACGATAAATCAAGGAATTTATGTTTGATCCTAGAGGCAGCTGTATACAGGATAGACTTGAAAGGGGAAAGAATGGAGGCAAGGATACCAATTAGGAGACTATTGCAACAATTCAGGTAAGAAGTGATGAGAACTTAAATTACTCATTAGTGTCTGTGTGAGCAGAGAGAAGGAAACAGATGTGAGAGATGTTGTGGTAAGTGAATCTACAGGTCTTGGCAACTAATTAGATATGTAAGATCAGGATGTGGAAGAGCCAAGGATGACTCTGAGGTTCAAACATAGTTGACTAGAAAGATGGTAGTGCCCTAGACAATAATGGGGAAGTTAAAAAAAAAAAAAGGACTAAGTTTCGAAAAAACTTCTTTCAAAACTTCATCAAAAACTCAATTCAAACTCTTAAAACTTTTTCCCTCCCTACCCTCTCTTCTCCCTCCTTCACCTCTCTTCTCTCTCTCTTTCTCTCTCTGTCACACAGATATGCATGCGTGTACACGCATACGTATACACACACACACACACACACACACACACCCTCTCCTGTCTTCTTATGTGACACTTCTGGGGTGATTTGCATGCATGGACCTTTGGAGTGACCTGGAACATGAAGATAATTCAAAAGAATTTTCTTTCCATAACCCAAAGGGCAGACTAAGTTCAGGGAGCAAAAAAATCCTAAGGCAAAAATAAAGGCGTTCAAATGACAGACTTAAACTAAGCCTGGGGGCTGCTCCTGGCTTTTGCTGGTTGGCTAGGTACAGCTGTGTGTCTTATGTACCAAAGAAGCTAAAATCCCATCTAGAACGATGACTAAAAAAGCTAAGACCTCTCTGTATTGCAACTGCAACTCAGGAGAGGACCAAAAGATGGCAGCAGAGAGCAGCCCAGCCTAATAGATACTGGCAGATTGCGAGGCTATAGGGGTAGAGAGCAGTGCCCAGGGAAAATAGCCCATCAAATCTATTTTCTGAACTAGCAACCAAAAACTTAATGTCCTCCTCAGAGCAGCAAATGAGTTATTCTGTGAAGGTGCAGCAATATCAAAGAATACTAGGGCCCAGGAATGAATTAACCTAGCTATATATGATTTCTACATGTGTGCCCTCTCCACATTTCTACGTGTCCCCTTCCTAGATCAGGTGTGTCCCATATGTATGTGACCTCTCTCAAATAAGTTCCCCCCAAGTGGTTTGTCTAGCCAGTGGTAGAAGAATCTGTGACAGAACACATCAAGATATGCTGTATGTATGTGGGGAAACGGGTTTTTTTTTTTCATTTATTTTGTTGCACTGTGTACACAAATGTCTTTTGCTTGAAAAAAAAATGCGTTATCTAATTAGTTTGATAAAAAAAAAAGTCAGAGGGAACTTGTGAATCATGAATTGGAATTCATGCTAACCCAAAATGTTCCCTAAATATGAGGTAACTTTCTAGAGTCTATAATTGAGAGGGACTCAGGCTACACGTACATAATACAGAAGCAAACAAGGTGTTATATGGTAGAAGTTAGATGTTCTCTAAACCTTCTTACTCATATTCTATGGTTTGGTGTTGGGATTCTTTACATTAAAAAACAATAACAAGAGAGGGTTTGGTTTTGGTTTTGCTCTTTAAAATGTCTCAGCATTCAGTATACAGACTAAGGTCACATCTCAATAGAAACTCTGATAGCCACCTAATGACATAATTCCAATGGGGCTCAGTTGGCCTTAACATCAGGAGAAGAAATAATTACAAAGATTAAAGAATCCTGTGACCATGACTGGCCTACTTTACCTTTGGAATGTTTTGAGCTTCTTCTTGAGCAAAAACTCCAACGTTAAAACCTTCTGCATGAGGAGGCATTTCACTGCTGTCTCTTCCCGACTGGCAGGATTAATGCGTTGTGCTGTCAGCTTCCAAACATGGATTTCATGTTTCAGTTCTAACAAAAGATGGAAGCACAGTAATACTGAGACACACATTAAAAACAGGTCACCTGGCAAAGCATAGTCTGCAAAATACAAACACTTAAACAGCATCTCGACTTAAAAAGCCACCTGCCTAATAACAGACCAATCATACAAACCAAATGAAATACAAAATAAATGAAAGAAAACAAAGTGAAAATCAGCTCTTCCTGAAAATCTATATTTCTCATTTTACTGTTTTCCCTATAGCAAACAATAAAAAGTTTTTTTTAATAGCCTTCTTAATGAAGTAATGCAATTGAAAATATACAGCTAAGTGTCAAATTGCACTTTGATAGACTCAATAAATGGCAAAGTCTTGGAGTTTGTTTTGTTTGTTTGTATCTACTTGTAATGTTTCTCTGAACCATACTCATAAAGACCTGCTTTTAACCAAGGTCTTTAACTTTCTTGTTTGAGACATTCCATGGGATCTTATACTTGAAGAATTCTAGAAGTAGAACTGATGACTTACAGGGGCAAGGCATCTCATTGAGTTTCCTCAGTGACAACCTTTTAATATGACTTTTGGTAGCAGGCAGATTATAAGAAATCCAGTTCACTCAACCATGGATATTTCATCAACTCACTTTCTCCCTTTCCTTCCTACATGCCACTTATCTCAAAAATCATTTTAAGGGGAAGGGGTTTTAATTGAAAGGCTACTGAAGGCAGGCTAATGTTGGTGAAATGTTAAAATTAGCATAAGGTTACTCAAGTCAAGCTGTAAGTGTACTCTATTTTCTGTAGTACATTCCAGCTGACATTGATGAACTGTGAGGGAAAAACTATAAATAACATTTTTCTATGTGTTATTTTCTTCTTATGGGCTTAAAATGTTTCATTGAAGTGGAAGTTTCCCTTGAGCTGACCTTTCATATGCTATGCAAATGCCTCACAATGTGCATTAAGAGAGAAATAATGCAATTCCTCCCACCTCTTCGTCTACCTTCCTCCTCTCAGTCTCTCAAGGAAGAAAGAGTTCTTCCTCAGATTCCTCCCAATGCTTGCCTGGACCTATTCTCTGCATTTATGTTGTCCTGTTTTATCAGATTGTTTGAATGCTTGTCTTTGTCCTAATGAAATTGTGAACTCCTCAAGGATAAGAATTGTATGATATCTACCTTTGCATTTATACTGTGGTAATAATTTTCCATCTTTGATTTACTTTTATTAATTTTTATCATTTGGAGGGAGGTCAGGGCCATTTCTCCTAGTTAGGAGGTTATTGGGCTAGCTGCAAGTTGTCCCTTGGGTTGTGAAAATTTATTTAAAACCTCAAATGGTCCTCAGATAAAGTCAAAAAGGGAACCTAGGCTTCCCCAAATAATTTGACTTACCATTTTCGAGAAAAATTCTCCTGACACCAACTGTGTAGGTATGTAATCCCCTTGCAATCACCCCATTGTGGACCATTTAAATGTAATTTATTCATAACTGACCAGGTACAGGCCCAAGCCGAGACCTTTGCCCCTTACCCCCAAAAGAATTTGGGTCCCATTTGGTCTACAGGCCCTAGAAAAATCCTATCTTGGACTCTCCTTGAAGTCCCCAATTTGATCAAGGAAGTCTCTAGTGATTGCCTGAGACTATAATCCTATCAACTGGCCTTTCCTAAATGCAATCTCCCAATCCTCAGTTACCCTTAACCTAACCCAATCCTCTATTGTCTGTTACCTCCATATAGAGATGGCAACTTCCCACCCTTGATCCCATCTAGACCCCATTCTACCTCCCAGTCACTCCCATGAAGATCCTTACCTAGACCCCCTCCTCCAGTCACCCTAGCTTACTGGCCACTCCCATCAAGATATCCCTTCTCCTAGACCCCTCCTCCAGTCACCCCAAACTACTTGACCACTCCTAGATCCCTCCCACAGTCTTCCCATATATAAGGTCCATCTGGCCTCCATTAAGGTGCTGAGATTCTTTAAGTGTCTAGCCAAGGGCTCAGATTCTTAAAATCTAGCCCAATGGCTGAGATTTACTCTAGACCTCTCTTCACGAATGTCACAAATGCTTAGATGCTGTAAGAGTCTGGCCAATATGGCAGATCTTTAATAAACCTTGTCTTTGGCTGAAAGAAGGCTTGGGTCAAATTCATTCAGGCAGGAACCACGTGTCACTATTTCAGGTCCCAGAACCCCAAAACCTCAACATATGGTTCCCTGAACCTCAACATAACCTGACAATTTACCAATGGAATCTAATTAACTAGGTTTGTTTCTTAAGGGAATATATGAGATTAGGACTCTGTTTAACTAAGATTATTCAATTTTTGTGACATTGAAGAATGCCTGAGATTATGAATCAATCTTTTAACTTTTATGACCTAAGAGGATATACGAGGTTGCAATAAAGAACAAATATAATAAATAATAATAAAAGAATTAATTCTCTAATTCTCTGTCTATAAGAAGCCTTATTAGAATCCTAATCTTGGTTCAGGGTTTTTTTTATACCCCGAGCATTAAACATTATAAAACCTAGGTTTTTACCTCTATAATTTCTATGTTGTAGTAGATTTATTTCAGCAGCAGTCACCTGAGAAAGTTAAAAAGTAAATGTTTCTCCCATAACAACACCTGCCAGCATAGTACCTTGCATGTAGTAGACACATGTTGCATTAAACAGTTGGATTTAGGATTTTTATTAAACATTCAGAATTTGTACATTTGGTTTTTAATGAAAATTATATTTAGTTTTTAAAACTTTCAAATTATTGTAATTTAATTGGACTAGACGATATTTAAGGTTTAACTTACCACTAACTCTATGATTCTGATATTTAACTACACATTCCACCACCACCCCACAGGACAAAAACCTTACAGAGAGGCAAAATCTTTGAAACTAAGATAGTCAATGGTTTGTTGTTTTTGTTTTTGTTTTGTTTTGTTTTTAATTTTTAAGTTAAAGCATAGATTTATATTTTGGTGACTTATTAAACAAAAAAAAACCCTTTGATTTAATTTAATACCTTTTTTTCATAAAAGTAGATATATTTTTCTATTGAGAAGCTCCATACCTAATTAAATAAGTGATTAGGATATGTTGATGAAAGAAAAGATTGACACAGTAGGCTTCCCAAACCTCATACGATTAATGTCTTATTAAGAACAAGAATCCCGCAAAGATATGGTTGCTGAAAGTCTCCACTTATATCTCAGAAGATATAAACGTTCTATCTTTTATTTTGGGTACATAAAGGATTTATCATAAAAAGGCCAAGGAATACCAAAAATTGTCTAACCTTCATTTAAAGACATAAAAGTGAAGAATAGATTTCATTTTTTCTGAAGGAGCAACCAAACATGATTAAGAAAGAATACATCTTAACCCTCTCCTTCCTAAGATGCAGGAAAAGGACAGGATATGCCTATGTTTTGGAGGCCTGACTCTTATTAGGTTCCATAAAGATGATGGTATATCAAGGTCAGAAGCAAAGCTTCTTGGAAGCATATGGAAGTTGTCTTTATTATTTATAATTGCCCTTTTGTGCCGCTCATTTATTTTTCTTATCTATGTCCATTCTCCCAACTGGTGATATATGTGCATATAAGGAGGTAGGGGGCATAGTGGATAGAGTTCCAGATCTGGAGTTTTAAAAGACCTAAATTCAAATCCTTCTTTCTGTTTTCTAGCTGTAGGACCTTAGGAAAGTCACTTAACTTCCATCTTTTTTTTTTCCCTCTCAAATTCCTCATTCATAAAATGGTATAACAATAGTACTTAACTCCTAGGGTTGTGAGGATAAAATCCAATGAGATAACATATGCAAATTGCTTTTCAAACCTTAAAACCACATATAAATGGTTATTATTTTTATTTACAGTATAATGTGCTCTAGATTTATGGGAACACCTGTCCTTTGCTACTTCACTCATTAAATACCTTGACATGAAACTGATTTCATCCTTTAACTGGAGAAAAAGCTAACAGATTAATGTGGCAGGTCTAGTAAGTGAATGTATAAATACAGAGTAACTTGAACCTGGGCTAGCTATCCTGGGGCCCTCTATGAGGGGAGGGTGCTGCTACTGTTCCAAATGTAAAGTGCATTACAAATTTTAAAGGACTACGTAAATCCCAACTATTATTGGCCCTCTTCTCCCCATGCACTGTTTCCCTTAGTGAATTATTACATTTGCACAGCTTTACCTACCACTTCTAAGCAGATGACTCTTAAATCTCTATCTCTAGCCCTGACTTTTCTTTCAGGCTCCAGATCCATTTATCCAAATGGCTATACGACATTTCACTTGAATATGTCACCAGCACCACATATTCAACACATTCAGACCCGAGCTTATTTCTTTCCATGAAATGTTCTTTTCATTCTGACTTCATTATTCCATCATTCTACCCAGTCTCCTGTGTTTGAAGCCTTGTGGTCATGTTTGACTCTTTTTTTTCTTTCTCACTTCCATGTCCAATCAATTTTCAAATCCTGTTGATTGTTCCTCTTCAATTTCTCTCACCTTTTAATATCTATCTAAAATATTCTGCCTCTGAAATACCTCTCTTATCCCACAGCTATAACACTTGTTTACATCGTCAGTAAAACCTAGCAGAGGGGCAGCTAGGTGGCACAGTGGATAGAGCACCTGCCCTGAAGTCAGGAGGACCTGAGTTCAAATCCGACCTCAGACCAAATACTTGACAGTTACTAGCTGTGTGACCAGGGTAAGTCACTTAACCCCAATTGCTTTAAAAAAAAAAAAAGTGAAAAAAAGTGGGAAAAAAAACCTAGTAGACTGTTTCACTCTACCCTTTATCCTGCTGTCAGACTATTCTTTACATAGAGATCTGGTCAAGTAGCTATTGTACTCAAAAATCTTCAGAAGAGTTCTATGGTCTTTCAAGACCTGAACTCCTCTCTCAAAAATTTAAGACCCTTTACTAAACTAGTACCAGCATTTCTTGTCTTCTTTATCTATTATTCCCTTATTATTACCACATAGCCAATGTTCTA